TATTGGCACCCTTGGTAAATATGATCAAAGAAGGCTGTGAAAATAAATCTGCATTGTTAATCATTTTGATCTTTTATTAAAAAAATTCACATAAATCTAACCTTTCATTGGAGAATAAGAATTTAAAATGGGGGGAAATATCATTGACATAAATGTTTTTCTCAAATACACGTTGGACACAATTATTGGTACCTCTAGAAATTCTTATGAGTAAAATATCTGTGAAGTATATTGCCATTCATATTTACAATTTTGAGCATACCAACACCTGAACCCTATAGAAAATAGTGTGGTGAACTGAAGAGGAGAAGCTCCATCATGGAGCTGGGAATCTGAAGGGTCTGGAAAGATTCTGGATGATGAGAAAACTCAGAGCTGTTATTATGCCAAATGGAGGTTGCAAAAAGCATTGAATAAAAGGGTGCTGTTAATTGTGTCCAATGTGTATTAGAGAAAAACATTTATGTCATAATGATATTTCCCCCCATTTTAAATTCTTATTCTCCAATGAAAGGTTAGATTTATGTGAATTTTTTAAATAAAAGATCAAAATTATTAACAATGCAGATTTATTTTCACAGCCTTCTTTGATCATATTTACCAAGGGTGCCAATTATTCTGACCACGACTGTAGGTGTTCGCTTTAAACACTTTTCCCCTTTCAATTCAGTCAAGAGTCTGGAATGATTGTAGCGGACAAGGATGGACAGTTGTGTGGTCTACAGATGGAAACGTACCTGTCTACCATCATTTACACATCTGTGTTCTTAATTATCTTTCAAATGGACTAAGGATAAGTGGCAGGGTCCATAAATAAAAGTGGTAAAATTGAGCAAACAGTTGGGCAGTAGCTTTATTAGGATCTGAAACATCACATGGTTAAGTCGGATTGTAAAAAAAGCAAGCCAATCCTCGCTTATGTCAGAGACATGAGAGAGTTAAAGGGATAGTTCCCTTTAACATAACAATTCAGTCATTATTTACTCACCCTCATGTTATTCCAAACTGTTCAACTAACTTTCTTCTGTGGAACATAAAATATGACACTTTGAGAAGTGTATCAGTTCTATTTGGGATTTTTCCACCTTTTTTTTTTTTTTTTTTACTTCTATGGAACTACTTCTATAAAAATTATTATTATTATTTATTTTTTTAATCCGTACAATAATGTTAATAGTGTATAATGTTTTTGGACCCCATTGACTTTCACAGCATGATCATTCTTCACCTTTAGAATGTCATCTTTTTGTATTTTACTGGTTGGAACAACATGAATGTGAGTAAATCATGGCAGATTTTTCATTTTTATGGGAACAGTCCCTCCATATGGTGACACAATTCTTGGCATTAAGCCATCAAAATAGAAATATGAGGATGTTTTTGTGACATATATTGTACAGTTTCACTTGAAAGTTGGAGACAGACACATTTCATATATGATGCTGAGAGAAAAAAAAGGCCTGGTTGTCATGCATTTTATTGGAATTAAAATACATTTGTATAAAAAACAAAGCAAAGTACAGTTTAATGTTCAGTAAGAACTATATGTGGCTGGGGATTTTTCTTAGTTCACTCACTGTTGGCAGAAAGTTAGCAGATCTTCGACAGATATGTTTCATTATTTTATTTCTGTAAAAGTGTGCACCATCAGCATGCTCTTTGTCTAGTCCTGTGCCTACTCCCAATTATCACTAAATTTCCTTGCTCTGCCAATATTGTTTTCCAGCTTCCCCATGTCGTTCCTGCCTGCATTGATTTCCATAACACAGTTAATTGGTTGCTGCTGTGTGCTTCCTGTCTTTACCACATCACACACTCTGCTGATACTGGCATAATTGGCCAACTGAGCCACATTTACGAAAGTTTCATGATGCGTGAAATCTTCACCACATATTATAAGGTTAAGAGAGCTGTCGTGAATTGAAGGTAATAGTTTAGCTAACATATTCCCCCGTGTGCATCTAACAGCTGACAGGAAGGCAGGCAGGCATGTGAGCTATAACGATTTAGCGGTTGCATTGTAATGTGCTTCAGCCTCCCCTGGCTTTGATACACATTCAGACAGATCAAGTTGCATAATGAATATTTTACACATGCCTGCACAGCATGCATGTATGAAAGATCCTGCCATGCACTGGGCGAAATAGTTTTTGCCTGCACCTGCACTCTGCTCTTTTATTCTCTTGGTAATACTCAACAGCTTGAACTCAGAGTGAACACCTAATAATGCACTAGCCGCGACGGTGGCATCAGCTGCAAGCTGTACAAATAAACCTCTTGTTCTTGCTCTCAATCTTCTGTCTTATTCTCTATCTATAGTTTCAGTTTAGAGAGTTCTACTGACATAGCAAGAAGTGTACATATGCAACATAGTGCAACAGTGAGCACTCACTTTAACAGATTTGGTCCTGGCATTTTTGCTATTCATTTTCTCCATAGGCATTCTAATAGATAACATATTCTGTTACACCAAATACACAAAATAATGATCTTTAAAAAAGCATCATATGACCCCTTTAAATAAAAACCTTCAAGCCATCCATCTCAAAGATGATTCACTATTAAAGTTCTTCAAACTCAGCAAAAGACAAATGTACAATACTGAGTATTTAACATATCTTATTAAATTGATCAAAAACTCCAGTACAGAAGAAAATAACTGACTAGAAGTAAATTATTATAAGTATAGAATACTATGTATTGGAAGTTTATTGCAAAATATATGCACTCAGAGTGACTTAAATACACCATTTGCAATGCTTTATGGGAATGGCTGCTCACTTCTGAACTCTTTTCCTCAGATTTTGGTTTCATTGACTTTTCTGATTGATGGATCTCTCTTTAGGATTGTGGGTATTGTAATTGTTTTTTGTTTTTTTACCGAAAGTTCTGCAATTGAACTTTTCGTTGTTGTTGAAATCACATTGACTTTTACAGAAGAATGTGTTTTTACATAACAACAATGGATCTCATAGCAGTGTATTCTTGAAAGACTTTTTTTTTGAAGAAGAAGAAATTAATACTTTTATTCAGCAAGAATGCATTGAAATGGTCAAAAGTGACAAAAGCTTTTATATTGTTACAGAAGCTTTTAAAAATCTTGTTCTTTTGAACTTTATATTCAGCAAAGAAAACAAATGTATCAAGGTTTCCACAAATATATATAATCTAAAATGTATTTCTTGAGCAGCAAATCAGCATATTAGACTGATTTCTGAAGACTGGAGTAATGATGCTGAAAATTCAACTTTGCATCACAGGAATAAATTACATTTTAAAACATATTCAAATACAAAACAGCCATTTCAATTGTAAAAAGATTTCACAATATTACTGTTTTTACTATGTTTTTGCAAATAAATGCAACCTTGGTGACTTCTTATAAAAACAAATAAAAAACAAAATAGAAAACAATAAAACATTCTTATAAAAACAAATCAAAATCTAACCAACCCCAAACTTTTAAATTGTAGTGTATGTTATTTCTAACCCTGTGGAGAAAATGAATATGATATTCACTTCAAAAGTAAAACATCTATTTCAAAGCATTTGCAGCTTAGCCATGTGCAATGAAACAGTGCAAATAAGTGGAGCAAATATTAGTACAAAAGTTAAAGGGGTCATATGATGTGATTTCAATTTTTCCTTTCTCTTTGGAGTGTTACAAGCTCTTGGTGCATAAAGAAGATCTGTAAAGTTGCAAAGACTAAAGTCTCAAATCCAAAGAGATATTCTTTATAAAAGTTAAGAGTCAACCACGCCCTCCTAAAAAGGCTCGTTCTAACACGCCCCCACATATCTACGTCACTATGTGGGAAGATTTGCATAACGCCACCCAAATGTTCACGCAAAGAAAGAAGGCTTAACTTTTATTCTCGCTGTAGTATTGTTGTTGCCGCCGCCATGTCGTGAAGGCGCTGTGTGTTCGTTGTGAAAGCGAAACTACTTTGTTTGGTCTTCCAAAAGAGGACAATATCCGCTTCGTCATGCCTGGAGCTGATCCGTGCTGGTCGCTGAGGAAATACATCAACTTCGCGCTGTGGATCGCCGGATCGGCTTTCACCGGGGACGTCACATGTGGTTGCCCCAAGCCTGCCCACCGTGCCGTTCTCGAGCCCACCGGCCTTCCAAAAGAGGACACGACTAGAAATCAGTGGTTAAGTTGTATTTACAACACTGTTCCAGAACAGTTCAACCCAAATATTCCGATGTGTCCAGCGCATTTTATGGAGGATGGATGAGGACTGTTTCCTGATCCTGGTAGAGTAGACAACAACGCCGGCTGTTCTGACTCACAGACTGTAAGTACGTTTTTTATATTTAAAGAATTTGCCACTGATGATTCAAACGCGAGTTTTGAGCAGTGTAGAGTAGCGCTTGTAGTTTGTCATTTCTCCGATCACAAATGCATTATAATCCGTAATTATGTCCCCACTGGATGCAACAAATGCCTCGTTTATAATGGGTTTTCATGTTTTTGTCTCGTCGCTCCGGCCGGGACAAGGCATCACAGTATGGCAAGGGGCGTAGCATTTCCGTCACACGCTTGAGGTATTCGGCCAATCACAATGCACTGGATAGCTGGCCAATCAGAGCACACCTCGCTTTTCAGACCGATGAGCTTTGTAAAAATCAACGTGTTTCAGAAAGGTGGGGCATAGAGGAGAAACAATAATGTACAGTATGTGGAAAATAATGTGTTTTTTGAACCTTAAACCACATAAACATTTCATTACACCAAATACACAAAATAATGTTCTTTTTAGCAACATCATATGACCTCTTTAAAGAAATATCAGTGCAGACCAAACCCTCCAACACTCCCTCTCTCTTTCTCGATCACATTCCGTGTTTCTGTACTCTCTCTTTCAGCCGTTTGCTCCTCCCACCCTCTCGTACTCGTTCACTCACGCTCTGCCTCTTTGTGTCTTGCGCTCTGAATGCACTTGTAAGTCAGTGCATATGAGGTATCTCAGTAGCTGTCAGATACAGTACTCACAGGAGGAGACATGAGAAGACATCTTATCCATTGCGTCAGTTTGTTACTTTATGATTGAAATCTGCTTTGTGTGTTGGTGCTCCCAAGTGATCTGAAGCAGTGAGCTGAGTTTACAAAGAAACCAGTTAGTGTGTTTGGATATGCAGCGTCTTTGATCGGAGGATTTGAATACAAAGAAAAAGCGCTGAACGTGAGAAAGGAAATAAATTAAGACCTTTCTTATGTGAGATGGGAGTCGTGCAGGTGGTCTTGAGCAGCGAGCTGTGAACTTCATGTGTCGGTCGGGGAAGCACTGAAATGAGTCGTGGGCATCACTTTATAAGCTCTTTGCCTGTCTAGTTGAGCAAGTCAAGCTTCAGTTTGATCAACCCTCCTGATATTCTCAGAGCAGGAGTCCCAGCGCATTGCACAGTCCAGCAGGACCGAGGAACTTTTAAATTTGCTCTCCAGAGGATCTGGATCTGGCTGACTTGGCTTTGTTTCTTGGAGACACTTTGCACTCTTTCATTGAATTTTCTCTGTGATAACCGTGCATCCTCTGAGACAGGATGCAGGTGTCGTTTGTTTGCACGGACCACCGGTCCATGAGCCGTAGCACAGATGACAGGCTCAACCGACAAAACGCTAACAGTCCAAGCACTGGTACCCGAAGCAAGTTCAAAGCCGTGGCCATGGTGGCCAGGAGCCTCGGGCAGCTTTCTGTCCAGAGCGTCCCTTCTTCAAGTGACCAAAGCATGAGAACTGGCATGAAGTATAGGTAGGAAAACTCATAAAATGAATGAAGAGTTTATTTTGTGACCGTAAAGCTTGTAGGATAATATCCGATAATGTGAAATGTTTTACTTGTGTATGTTATTAGATTGTTTTTATGCTAAAATATTATTTGTACACAATTTAGGAAAAAAATAGTAGCATTCACATAATTTTGACTATTTTTTAAAGACTGTGCTGAATTATCCTATCTAGCTCAATAGCATAATAATCAGTATATGCTGGCGCATATATACATTTCTTCTATTTCAACAAACTGCTTTGATTGCATATAATGATTTCAGCCCTGTCAGTTTGACTATTACTCTTCTAATCATTCTGCAAATTGCAGCTTTAACTGTTGAAGAATAATGAATACTCATTTTCTCAATAATTTTAACCCAATTGAGCCACTGGCAAACTAGATTAATATTCCTGCATTGCTGCTATCAGCTTTTCCATGAAAATCCCAAAGCTTTGTGTTCAAATGTACTGCTATTATGCACAACTGCTGACATATTTGTCTTAGAATTGTTCTCTTAGGTGTTCATAATACATAATAGTATTATATAATTTAATTATGTAATTTGATGCCTTTTTTCATTTCTATTAGGAGTTCATTTTTCTGTTTCATTTTCTATATTTCAAACGTAACATTTTCTGCATTCGTTAACAACAAACCTGGAAGTATTTGTTAATTTACATAACGACTGCTAGAAACACTGCCAGATTGCTTTCAGCTGTCATGTTCATTTGCAGAAAAATCCTAATAACAGCTCTTAATGGAGGTGTTATCTTTCCTTCCTGTTTGAAATCAGGATTGCAAAATGATTGTTGTCAGAGGCTCCAATTTATGTCAAGCTTAATATTCACCTCTGTAAAGCGAGAGAGTTAGCTAGACCTTGATAATTTAATTTATTCAATTATGCACTCATTATGAGTTACTTCATACAATGTCACTGTCTTGAAGCTTCATTTTCTTATTTTAAAGAAATCCTCATTATGCTGGAACACATTAAAAAAACAAAAGAGGAAGGTTTTTGCACAGCTTTTTTGATTGAAAGAAATGGTTACCATAAACTGTTTTCCAAGTGTCCATGTTTACATTTAACAGGAAAAAATAGCATACTGATTTGGAATTATATTGGAAAGTTCCAAAAGCAATTTGTCAAGAGTCAGTGCAAGAGAAATGCAGTGAAGAGACAGAAGTAATGACGTAAGAGTGAGTAAACATAACAAAAATTGCATTTTTGGGTGAACTAGGCCTTTAAAATGAGAACTTCTTTTGTGGACCTTCTTTCCATTGTTCTAAATTCTCTGAGGCAAGCAGTATTTGATACCAGCGCCTTCTGTTGTCTCGAGATTGAGGTCGTAGAGTGATTCCCCCCCCCCCCCCCCCCCCCCCCCA